AGGGTCCTACTACAGCTAGGGTCCTGGTCTTCAAAGAGACGATGTTGAAGCCGAAATGCGAAACGAGTTCTGGACGTAGATGAGTGCGGTAAAGCATTTTGGGTGACGGCAGTTGAGTGTAAGAACTGCATCCAATGTTTTCAAATATCGTACTTCACCAAATACCATAAACGCGTGGCGTGAAAATAAAGTTATCTCATTCCACCGGACATTATTCCTCTTTTTCGCTTCGAAGAAGTACTGCACCTGAAATGGCGGCGTAATAAATATATTTCGGAGGTTTCTTTCCGTTTGTCCTCGCAAGGAGCAGTGAGCAAATGCCAGTGCCGCTCCAAATTTGTGAGAGGGCGCTGCAGCCAACACATCGGCGGGGGGGGGGGGTCTCGGCAAGCTCTTTGACGCGGCGCACTTAGCGCCTCCCCCCGTACCCCTTTACCTCCGTTGACACAGTTGGCGCTGACCGGGTCAGCTGCGGCGCCCTCTGCACAGCGGCCAGGCCGGTGTGTTTATTGATTGGAAGTCTTGACGTGCGACTTAATGAGGCAGTTCACGGAGTGCGAGCTGACAACGTTTTCAGCCAGGTTTCCGATCGCAGTGAGACGCTAGTGGAGATAACGTGGACGGCTGGGACTTATCACCAGACGTATGCAGTGGACATGTGCATGGATGATAAGCAACCGTCGATAAATTACGTTACAAATGGATGAAGAGCGCGTTGGTTGAGCGTAACCGAAGCCAAATAACAGGGGAAAGGAAAGGTTTTGGACAGTGTAACGTTACGCCCATGTGCGGCTGCAGATTATGATAAAACATTTCAAAACCGATAAAAAACACAAGGGTAGCTGGCGCTGGCATGGCAAGAAATACTCATGGCAAGGAGGACAACCCTGATCGGTCTCGCATCCCTGGCCCAATCAGGGGCCAAGGGCAGCGAGGCAGGGGAGAAGCGGAAATGACTAAAAATGTGTGAAGCAATCTATGTACGGCAGTAACTGATAAGGGTGAAAATTATACGAATCAACATGGTGCTTTGGACACAAATGTTGATGTTACTGATGATATCATAATGATTTTGTTACTGATGATGATAATGCTGATCGTGATATTTCAAATGATATGGACAGAACGAATGTGGATGAGGTAATATAAACAGCATGGGCCTGGAAATAGATGGTAGTCTGTCATACTCTCCGCTTGTGACGCGGTGAAAGATGTGAGGCGCCGCGACAGTCAAACATCGTCCGGCAAGCTGTAGTTACACGTCGCTGCGTCTCCCAGCAGTCGAGAGCGGCGAACGACGTGGGGCTCGGGGGCGTCACCGACAGCGCGCGGTGTGACGCGCCGGCGGTCGGGGCGGCAGCAGGCAGCAAGACTGGAGCCGCGGTGTGACACGCCGGCGGTCGGGGCAGCAGCAGGCAACGGGTCTAAAGTGACAGTTCTTCCGCTGCGTTGCTGCCGATGTCTGAGAAGCGGTCAGTTATCTCCTCACTCATGTTATGACGAGATAACTGACCGTGGCTGAAGGCGCGGGCGGTTACTTCGTCATAACATAAATGTGTGAAAAACATCAACACAACTGTGCGATCTATCACCGTCGATGGTGATTTTTTCTGGGATCTGTCGCCTTTACCAGAAGCCAAGTAGATGCTCTTTCGCCTTTGTCAGTTAAAGGACAATAATGAAAAATGAGTGAATTTCAATTCAACGTCCACCTGACTGAAGCAAGTGCGAGGAGAAGACCATAACTGTGCAGCAGATACACGTAACCTACAAACGTGCAGAAAAGAGGGAAATGCCACAATGTCCAGTCCCGCTGCCTATGTCACCAATATAACCAGAGCATGCTACACAAGGTGAGGGGATACTCAGGTGCGGACCAAGATCTAGTAGGCAGTCAGCAAGCTGTGGGATGGCACCTGCATCTCTGCGAAGAAACAGGCTTTGCGTGTTTCATTTTCATAAATGCTGCTTAATCTTTGTACAGTTAGTCGTAGAACGAATTTGATTGAATTCTTATCTGGGATCCTTGCGCAAAGTATTTTGAGGTCACCCCGGTTTTTTTCCCGAATAAGGACTTTGTCCCCCACGATTATTTCTGCACAAGATACATTTTTCACGCTGACGTATTAAAATATATCATTTTCAGGACACACTACACTACCTCCCAGCCTGACCCCCAAATCAGGATTTGGAGGCGCTGCTGGTGGAATGGTTAGGGTGCTCGGCTTTGGACCTGGAGGTCTTAGGTTCGAGTCTCTGTCCCACCGCCGCTGCATTCCACGTGGTATATCTTATAAAGACATCCTGTCCCGAAATGACCCGGGCAGTCGGTGAGACGTAAATCTGCAATCATAATCATTAACCCCAATTTGTCCCCCAATTGCAGAGACGTGGCTACGCACCTGCGTATTTCTCGTCCGTCTCCTTCCTCGCACGTCGCCTGCTCCAGACCAATCAAATAGCTCTCGAACCATCGAACGTCGGTAACACCATTACAAGACCGTGTGGTGAGAACGACGTCCTGAGGCCAATGTTATAAAAAAAGAACGTCACTATCCGTAAAAGAATATGGCGCCGAAAAAGGAACGGCACTCTCCCCAATGTTATAAAAAGGGAGACGTGACCGCAATCGGTCTCTTTTTCTCATGCTGGCGATTCTTTTTTCCTCTGCTGACGAATTCTTTACAGACAGCTCGGTTGGCGCGTTGTGCACTGGAGCAAAAAAAATTGCACGGGCTTGTGGGTTAGGAAGGATTTATAAAATTAGGGGATGGTTATAGCCACATTAGATAGATATTTTACTGAATACCTAACACACATCGTGTGACAAATTTAAATCTTAAAAAAACTTGTCCATGCTGTCTGATGCCTTTGGAATATCGATCACCGTCGTTACTAGCGACACAACATTATCGCTGGTGTTATTGCCAAGGCCCTCCACAGCGGTGAGTACAGCATCACTAATTAAGTGACCGACATGACACGCAAGTATAACGAGGGCGAAGTAGTCCTCGTGCGTTTAGATAACCCGTTAGGTAAGCGCATGCTTTCTTTCTAAGATCTTAGAAATCACGCTGAGTGGTGATGCGGATTTATTGTTGGACGGACAGCCGGATCACTTGACTCTGACACTGCCATAGGACAGGCCACATTCCAGCCGTCTGAGAACACTAGTCACATAAGACGAGTTAATAAGTTTTAAAAGGCAAAACGACACCTACACAAATTTAAGCCTTGTCCAGACCGTTGCTTACAATGTTTTGAAATGTTACCGAACTACGTACGAACGGGGACAACCGAACCTGAAAAGTCCCGACGCACGGGATTTTGCTCCACATCAGCAGCATGCTACCCACGGCACTGTGTCCCCCCCCCCCCCCCCCCCAGCGCGACAGCCTCCGGCAATTGGATGTACTGTCCTGGTCACGTGCACGAGCGTCGATAGCACGTGATTTACAATTGCGGAGCATTGGGAGCCTGGGTTCCCAGCGGGAACAAAACCAAGTGTTTCGTGGCAAAAGAGGGCTATTGGCTCGTGCAACTCTGCGGCCAATGCCCCACTGCTGCACGCGCCCTGGTTTACCACTGGATGTCGCCGAGGTTGGAGGAAATAAATAGCTGGTAAGCTACGAAAAAAGAAATCGCTGCGAAGTTCTACGATTTTGATTGAAGCGCTGTCTGTGCCCTTCCTCGGCACTGGTTTATAAGGGACGCCGCACTAGCAGACATGGGTCGATTGTAGATGGCGCTAGTAGCTGCTGGCATTCTGATCGGGTGAATATTTAGGACAGTCCGAGGCATGCATGTTCATCAGGGACAACAAAGGTGTATTTCGGTGTATAAATGAAGTGCATGACATAGAAATATATTACGCGCCAAGAGGTTGCATTTCGTAAAGCAGCTTAAGCACATGTATGTGTTTACCTCCCTTTAGTATGCATAGCTCTACGCGCGCTGCAACATATATGCATCCAATATAACTACAAGTCAAGTGTGTCCTATGCTTGCAACTAGATTCCAAAACGTTACTTCCAACATAAATTTTCCGCTTGTCAAAAAGGCAAGATGTCAACTGTCAAAAAGTACAGGCCTTCAAAGAATAATTATATTCATGGATTGGAACTGACTGGATGCGAGTTTTCCCCAAAGCGTTGATCAGATCTAGATTCTATCTAACAATTTGTTGACATAGTTGGGTCGGAAGAAACCGACAAGGAAATGGCCGGGCTATGAAATAGTAATGGTGCGAATGCCTGCAACATTAGATATTTGGCTTTAAACCATAGCCGACTCATGTGTATTATTTGATTTATTTACTCTGATGCGTTAAATCGGCGTGAATTTGACGTTCGTCAAACAAGCGGGCTCAACACGGACCGAATCAAAGCTGATGTCTTGGATTGGGGTGGATCTTTAAAGCTGATGTCTTGGATTGGGGTGGATCTTGGGCGGTCAGTCCCCGGAGCGCTCGGTTACAAAGCGCTCAGCAATCCATTTGTCGAGGGTGCCTTCTTTTGAAAGCTCCAATGAATATGACCTCAATTGTGCTCCAGACCATGCCATGCAAAGAGCATGCAGTCTACAGGGAAGCCCGCGGGACAGTTCATTCATTAAGCAATGCGCCTTCAGCAGAATCACTCGACCTCGCTGGAACTTGTGTGCAAAGCACTTACGTATGATATAATTGCCTATCCGCCTAGCGACATTCACTTCCCAGCGCGAAAGAAAACGTCGCCGTAAGAAAATCGAAAGACTCATATTTGCTGGCAGACACTTTGAATGCCACCACTGCTTGGGCACGCGGCAGGCGACAGAGCCGGCCATTCAGGCACCGGCCTCAGCGTGAAACAAAGGCCCACGGGCGGGCGAGCCCGCCGCCCGCGGGCCTCAGGGAGCACCTTTTGTTCCAGGCCGCCGCGGCCAAACCATGTTTACACGAGCTGTCGGCGGGCTGGCGAGGTCTTGACCCCCGATGATTAGAACGCCATGCGCGGTCGCCTGTGCGGCTGCTGCCGGCAGCGGCGTCGCCACGCGTTTCCACCGGAGCATCCCGGTGAGTCGTTTACAGCTCGCATCAAAGGCGGGTAAGGGCCAGTGCTTCTGTTTGATTTTGACTACGGATAAACTTAGGTGACATTTTCTGTGTTCTGTGGTTAGTCTGAGAACCGCGGTAATTGCGCTGTTGTTGTGTGAAAATTTTAAACCACCAAATATTAGGATAATTACAGCCTAAAAAGAAACAATACCCAAGCGTTCCGTCCAACAAACTATTTTCAAGTTATGTTGACATATGACTCTAGGTATGTGTGAAAGCTAATGACTTGAAAGACTGAATAGCCTGTGGGCGCTGCTCACCACTTTCTCGCCTGCTTGCTGTCCGTGATGTATTAACATTTCATCTCCATGCTCATTACCCGCGGAGTTGTTGCATGCGAAGCGATACCGTGAGCCTCTTCAAATGCTTTGTAAGCCTGACCAACTATAGGCTTATAAATTTGATTTACCTGAGGGCAGAGGATGTATCTCAGAAACGTTCTGCTCACAATAAACGTGCAGCCTTGTGTTAACTGCAATGTGTATGACGACGCTCGGAAATGTCGTTTTTAATTTGCCCAACGAAACTTATGTCCAATACGAAGGTTGGAAAAGGACTGAGCAACTAAAAAGTGTAACTGTGCCTATATGTATGCATGCATGCATATGGCCCGTTATACATAGCGTCATCACGTAGCGTGTGGTGTGTGTGTGTGTGTGGTGTGTGTGTGTGTGTGTGTGTGTGTGTGTGTGTGTGTGTGTGTTGTGGGTGTGTGTGTGTGTGTGTGTGTTGTAGTCGTTTTGTGTGTGTGTGTGTGTGTGTGTGTGTGTGTGTGTGTGTGTGTGTGTGTGTGTGTGTGTGTGTGTGTGTGTGTGTGTGTGTGTGTGTGTGTGTGTGTGTGTGTGTGTGTGTGTGTGTGTGTGTGTGTGTGTGTGGTGTGTGTGTGTGTGGTGTGTGTGTGTGTGTGTGTGTGTGTGTGTGTGTGTGTGTGTGTGTGTGTGTGTGTGTGTGTGTGTGTGTGTGTGGTGTGTGTGGTGTGTGTGTGTGTGTGTGTGTGTGTGTGTGTGTGTGTGGTGTGTGTGTGTGTGTGTGTGTGTGTGGTGTGTGTGTGTGTGTGTGTGTGTGTGTGGTGTGTGTGTGTGTGTGTGTGTGTGTGTGTGTGTGTGTGTGTGTGTGTGTGTGTGTGTGTGTGTGTGTGTGTGTGGTGTGTGTGTGTGTGTGTGTGTGTGTGGTGTGTGTGTGTGTGTGTGTGTGTTGTGTGTGTGTGTGTGTGTGTGTGTGGTGTGTGTGTGTGTGTGTGTGTGTGTGTGTGTGTGTGTGGTGTGTGTGTGTGGTGTGTGTGTGTGTGTGTGTGTGTGTTGTGGTGTGTTGTGTGTGTGTGTGTGTGTGTGTGTGTGTGTTGTGTGTGTGTGTGTGTGTGTGTGTGTGTGTGTGTGTGTGTGTGTTGTGTGTGTGTGTGTGTGATCTGTATATCTTATCAGAATATTTTCCTTCGTGCACGTTTCATTAAAAACGTTTGCTGGTTCTGCATAAGCAAACTCCGCCATGCAACGTCCGAGGTTCCGGGCTTTTGACTTAGCAGTATCGTTAATATAAACGACTGTTCGCACAAAATCACTCACATTTTCGTTGATATCTGTGCGGTTTAACATTTATAGATCTTTTCCAAGCATCACAGAAATATGCATGACAGAACTAGTTAGTTTAAGTTTTTGAGAGCCAAAGTAATGCATCGTTATCTTAAAGAATGTTCCACATTTGGATGGAGTTGTAAGCTGAAATAGCTATCTTCAAGACTATGCGGTGCAGTTCTCAGCCTCGCCCTTCTTAACACTTAAACCCTGTTAATTTCCGACCTATATGCCCACGAAAATGTGCGGACCTATTCGGGTAGGCTATACCAAGGCCCCCAGGCATTCATGACGTCATAAAAACTCCTTAAAAATAGTTCCATTTTATTGGTCATACGGTGATCAAGGCCAATAAAAATATGTTTGTCGAGCTATGGCTATCTGACGTTCGGGAGCACGGATTCAGATATAACGGCCGCCAACTGGCTCTCAATCAAAAAGCTGTGCAAGGTGCAATGACACAATCAAACAATGACGTAATGCGTAGTAAGTTTATTAAACATAGAAATTGTATTGTCTAGAGCAGTCTTTGCCACCTATAGTATACTGATAGCGATAAGTGAGCTCATTTCATCGTATCTGATGCTTGCTCCAATATTTTCAAAAATGGAGCATTCCCTTTAAGACAGCGATGCATATCCTTCGTCCTCAAAAACTCAAAACTTACTACTTGAGCCATTTATATTTGTCCGACCATGAAAAAAGTTTACGAAACGTTAGACTCAAGAGATATCAACGAATGTCGGAGTGATTTTATACCAGCAATCTTTTATCTTAACAATACTGCGAAGTCGAAAACCAGGAACATCAGGCAACGCATTAAGGAGCGTCTCAATATAAAATAATTGATCGTTTTCAATCAACCATCCACAAATGTATAAATTCCGTTAAAATCAAAGCGCGCCCAACATTGATGATTGCTTTCATGTCTGCGTAATAAATCTGATGACAGCTTTCGTCAGGCGTACATGCACGATAAAACTTTAAGACAAAAATCATCAATGGTAAGTCTGCCGTGATTTTTAACAAAATAGATATGAAAGATGATATGCTTCCTAAGTCTGAGTTGTATCTCATACAAGTATTTAGTGAGTTTTTTGTATGCATATTTGTGTATACATATTACATATGTATGTATACATACATATATATATATATATATATATATATATATATATATATATATATATATATGTATAGCATAGCGCCATTATGTATGCGTCAAGACTTAACTCATTTGTTTATTCAGCCTTCGTTACGACGAATTGTCACTAGGATCACGAATGTTTTCTCCATTCAACTGGCGCATCACATGCTGATTGCAGTACTTCACGGAACTCCGTGAGCTTTTTGGGTGACAGTGCGTCGTCGTTTTGCTTACCAGGCCATCCATCTGATTGCCGCGCTCCCTGAAGTATCTCGGGCAAGCCGTGCTGTCAGATCGAGCCGACAATCTCGATAGCCGGGATGGTGAAGGTGACCTTGACCAAGGCGTTTGAGACGGCTGCTGGGCTGGCGCTGGGGGCGCTCTGGCTGACATTAACATGGGAGCAGTACAGCAGGTGAGGCGCGTCTAACTGAAGAGTCTCGGCTACTTCAGAATGTGGGGCCCCGGTAAAAAGCCTCCCAAATGGAAGCTGAAGAGGCATTAACTCGCAGTTTTCCGCGTTCGGGAAGGCCCGAGTTACCGCTCGTGCTGGGTGGTTTGAAGTGCCCTGAGATATACGCAGTGATACGTATGCGTGCCGTGTAATGGTTGGCTGCGGGTGGTGAATGAATGATCGAACTAATATAGTGCTGCATAGTAATTAAGGATGCACACAAATGTTTTGAAATGTTTGCATATGCGACGCAACTTGTCATTATCCCAGCGAGCAAACGCTTGAAACTGAAATATTCCATCTCTGTGTTTCTGGGGTGACTTCCGAGGCACTTCAGGTAGGCCCCTTAAATGCTCAACGTCTTCCAGATAATAACTTTGATACCTGTACAGGGTATCAGGGCCTTCATACCTTTACATCGATGTCCGTTTTAGTTATAAAACCATGACGTCATCAGTGATTGGCTGCACTGCTATTTTTGATTTGAAAGCAGTCGTTAACCACTAACTCTATGGTTTTGGATCGTCTTAAAGTTACTCGTCGGCCAGTTTGTCTTTGTGTCAGTCAGCGTGTCATGTCGTAAAGATCACAAAAGTTTATCAACAAAGGCCATGTAGGGCGGGAAGTTTAGGACAAAGAGGGCTTGGGCCGCCAATTTGTGGTCAACAGGTCGGTTAACTAACATTTTCGTATCGGTGAGCGGTATGGGTCATGTAAACCGAGAAAACAGAAATATCATGTGCAACACGCTGACCTTGACCATGGCATGACCTCACCTTGATGTATTCTTTGCAAGCATCTTGATGTGATTCTAAAGCACAAGAGCACGCCTTTTCGTTTGATGCCACTTAAAAAACTATCCCACCGTATTAATTCATGCTAGAAGGCTCCGAACGCATTTGAAAATAAGATGCACTTTTCAGGCATGAGGTGCGATTTGTGACATCACCTGTTACGTCATCGATTCACAGGTGATATTTACCAGATCCATCGGCTGCCGTCTGAACTAACCAGATCTATCGGCTGCCGTTTGAACTAACCCTAGGTGGTCGTGATTAATGAAACATACCCCCACACGGTACTTCGCTAAGGTTGGATCGCTGAATAATTTAAAGGAGATGTTCCACATTTGAATACATTGAAGCCAGCGTCTGATATGATGAAATAAGCTTACTTATCATCATTGGTATACTTTTAGGTGGAGAAGACCGCTCCAAACGCCACAATTTATCTGTTGGGTGAATATGATCCTCCATACATCATTCTGTAATTACGTCATCATACCTTGCACAACATTTATTTAAAGCTAACTGACGGCCGTCATGTCTCGAAGTCGTGCCTGCGAGCACCAGAAATGAACGACTCCACAAACATATTTTTCTTGGCCTTGATTGCCGCATGGCAATGAAGTGGCAGGATTTGAATGACGTTATCATGACGTCATGAATGCCTGGGTTACCTTGAAATAGTCCCCGAAATAGTCTGCACATCTTGCGCCTGCATAGCTCAAAAACTAGAAGGCCTTAGGTCTTAAGAAGGGCAGGGTTGTGGACTGCACCGAATGATCTTCAAGGTGGCTATGTCAGTTGAAAACCCCCATGGAAATGTGGAACACTCCCTTTAACTAATACAACACTCGTAGTGAAAAATGACACCCGCGGCACCTTATATGTAGAATGCGACACAACTGCGTCATTGTGTTGAATATATGATAGGCAACAATCTTACCTCTCTACACCCACAAGCCTGACATTCTAAAACTACCTATCACCTTTCGAAATCTCTTGATGCAGGTACCGTTCCGAGCCGGTGGTGACCTCCATGGACATGACTTATTACAAGGTTCCCAGCTTCACATTGTGCCCCAAATACCGCGCGAACCTGACACGTCTTCTTGAGCTGCAGGTGAGGACGACGCAAAACGAGCCAAGATCTTGCATGTCTTGCCCCTTCTTTTTACCTTGTTTTAGTTCACTGATCACGAAACGTACCTTTTGGCATCAGAGAGTACCAAAAGGTGTCTTTTTGAAACCGCCCGAATAACCTGTGGTTGCTGCAAATTAAGCGAAATGAGACCATCGATTTTTCGTCGCTCTGCGTGAAACTATGACCCCGTCGTTGAGCCAATCAGTAAAAGGCAGTAACTAGTCATCACCGGTGATAAGCGATTGCCGCGAAAGCGCAGCTTCATATCGACGACGCCAGTCGGAACACTATCACACGTCACATAATTCTCAGGCGTGCCGTTTTCGCAGAACTACGTGCAACCGGTGAACCCGAATGGCTTCTGGCTCTTCTACAACAGCAGCTTCGGCAGTCCGGACCAGTTCGTGGTGGACTACCTCGGCCTGCCTGTCAGGCGGCTCCTCTACCTCTGCAACGACTTGGACTGCATGCCGATGCGCTCCAACCGGTGGAATGGCTCCCACCCGGCGCAGGAGTACCCGGGGCCCGTGTACGAGACGCGCCAGGGCACGTGGCTGCCGTACATCACGCGCCGGGGCCTCTGCCACACGTACCGGCCGAGGCCCTCCGTCTCCCAGGCGTATTCACGGTACCTTGACAACAGGGGACCGCAGATGGTGCTGCATCGTTTTGTGGAGGACTTCGTGCTCGACTCGTCCTACAGCTTGCTGGTGCGTGCTGGCGCTGCGCACAGCGCCGAGCGATGCAGAGAGTCCGGCCATTCTGTTGAGGTCAGGGGGGGGGGGGGGGGTAGGTGACATGTCCGGGATTTGCGCAGCCTGCATGAGATATCGAACTTGTTTTGGATTTTGAGAAGTCTAAAAGATCGCAGATGAAATATGCTTTGATTCGTCCATCAATACTATACTTGAGGTAAAAAAAAACTGGGGTCTCAAATACACCCTTCACCGTATTGGGCCCGAAGGGACTGACACCTCTTAAGACTAAAGACATGGCGGACATGGAAAGACACCAGACCGACACCTCTTAAGCATCTACGATTTTCACTCTACCGCCCATGGATGTCATAGGGTCGCAGCGATTCACAATTTTTGAAGCACCGTCGCATAATTGTTATGTATGGAATGGGAACATGCTGCGATACCGTGCCGGTGCCGAACAGCTTTAAGGATGCGATACAAGGTCCAGCGGTGTACCCTAGTCGATAGTAAACATACGTCAGTACACAAATCTCATGAGTGTCGTATCAAAGTTAAAAGACAGACACGTGTCGCAGTCGCACTCGGCACACAGTACGCGCGAACATGCCACATTGATGCACGCCACCCGAGTCAGGCACGTGACATGTCATGCATCAATAGCAGTTGCCACATCATGCTGAATTGTGCTTCACCATATCAGATTTTGCCAAGTAAAATTAGCGCGTAAACTGTTTTCAATTTTGTTCTTAATTGAAGAACCCTTTGGAAAATGACTATATGTGCGCCCTATCCTCTTTTCCTTTCTCCTCTTGCCCTCCCCCATAACACACAGCCACCTCTCTTTTCCTTTCTCCTCTTTCCCTCCCCATAACACACAGCCACCTCTCTTTTCATTCCTCTGTTTCCCCCTTCCCTTCTTCCCCTTCTTCGGCTGCCTCTCTTTTCCATCCTCTACCTTGCCCTTCCTCTCTTCCCTTCTTCGGCCGCCTCTCTTTTCTATCCTCTACCTTGCCCTTCCTCTCTTCCCCTTCTTCGGCCGCCTCTCTTTTCCATCCTCTGCCTTGCCCTTCCTCTCTTCCCCTTCTTCGGGCGACTCTCTTTTCCTCCCTCTACCTCCCCCTCCCTTTCTTCCCCTTCACGGGCTGCCTCTCTTTTCCTTCCTCTACCTCCCCCTCCCTTTCTTCCCCTTCTTCGGCCGCCTCTCTTTTCCTTCCTCTACCTCCCCCTCTCTTTCTTCCCCTTTATTGGCTGCCTCTCCTTTCCTTCTTCTACCTCCCCCTCCCTTTCTTCTCCTACCTTGGCCGCCTCTCTTCTTCTCAGACGGCGCTCCCCTCACCTCATAGCATCCGCCTGCTTCTTTCTCTCTTTCCCCGTCTTTCTGGCAAGCATTTCGCTCCTCTGTCCGTTGATCGCCGCTCACCTATCCACCTTCCTCAGATATCGGCTCGCCTGCCTGACAGACTCGTCCCTGATTCTACTGTCGTTCAGTCGACTAGTGATTTGAACAACAAAGAATGGAGTCAAATCCAGATATTTTCAGTAATCAACTTCCCATTTCAAGCGACTATTAACATCGGAACCCATTTAGAATCTTCCCTCAGCGGGGATAGGTATGCTGTATCTTATTCCGCATTGGTATAAACGTTATTGCTATTGGAAATATGGCAGATAGCACATAAATACACATATTTCCGTTCACATATTCACGCGATCGTGTTTGCGCGCACAAACATATACCTCGACATGTAAGGCAGTCTTTTACCTGAATTTAACGCATGGAACAGCACAGAGCAGTAGCTATTACCAAAATGAAGGGACAGCAACATAAGTGCTTTGCATGCTTATGTTTAACACTCGCCCGGGTGGCCGGTTAAATACCAGTCGCTCGGGGGGGGGGGGGGGGAAGGGTCAACTTGCCTCCCCTAATATCTCAAAGACCAAGAGAGCTAGAAACACGGAGTCACAGATTCGAATGCCCTGTGTGTCAACTACCTTTTTATCAAAACTTTAAGTTTTTGGTCGTGACCTACGGCTAAATAAGGTCAAACAATGTCAAACTCAAATTGGTGTCCAAAGTACCCCCAGACCTCCTCATGCAACCGCCTTGCCCAGACCTCCTCATGCAACCCAGATACCTGTTCTAAGCAAAAGGCCGCTGGTCTTAATCTAAGAGCAGTAACCTTCTCTGACCTCTAAGAGATTATGACGACAAAAATCCTGCGAGATTGTTCTGAGTTTTTAATTTGAACAAGCGTCAAGGATTGCGATAGGCGGTACGTTCCTGAAAATCAAATGTTGGCCCGTATCATTTTAAGTCATTGATCTACTATGACCATTAAGTGCATGGAAGATATCTGTCGTGTTTCCTGTCGTTGATAAGTACATATACGCATCAGACTAGCCTATAGCGCAAGTTCTTCAGCAATACAGCAGTATGGTTTTGACAATGGGCTGGCCTTCATACCTGACCCAGGTTTAATGGAATAAGTCGTGATCCTAAACTCAAGTTCTAATTATAGAATAAACTATGCCAGAAAGGCATAGCTTTGTCTAATACTCCGTCGCATCAGATTGAGCTATTCCCTGGAAGCTGCTTTCGCTGACAGCCATACCCTGACTTTGACATGCCCTAGTTCAGCGACCTCACAAGGTGTTAGCAATGCGTGTTAGCAATGAATGTCTTGGCTTATGGACAATAGTGATGTATGTAAATTAGCTTTAATTCATAGAAAGTCGAGAATAGGCGAAGAGTGCGTTGCTGCCGAACTATGGCATCTTGGGCCCCCAACGCATACGATCCCCCATTCCTACCTTTGCTGGACCAGCAACTGAACAGCCCGTTTGCATATTGGATACTAACTGGTTAGCTCTCATTGTACGGTGTCCACCCGACCTTGCGCACACCCGAGAGCTTGCGGCCGGTCATCTCGTGAATTTGATAACTTCAAAGAGAAATCAAATCTATTCCGATTCTGTCACAAGCATTGATTAATTCAAAAGCCGGTTCAATGGAGTAACACATGGAGCCGAATCCGCATCCGATCCTGGCCGAACCGGAATCGCTTCGGAACTTAAATCGATTCCGCTGAAATCACCCCGAGTCTGCTGTCTGACGGAGCTCCCCCCTCGTTCCCGCCTCTGATCGACAGTTGCACGGCCGGGAGGGGCCCACGCCCGACGCCACCTACCAGCTGCTAACCAACGGCATCGTCATCGAGGGCCATATTGCGATCTCGCTGATCTGCAGCTTCGGCCTTACCGTTACGGTCCGCGAGAACCTACGACGCGCCCCCTGCAACGACGACCCGAGCTACCGACATGTACGGGTGCGTATCGAAGGTGCGCCTGGGGTACATTCGCCACCGGGCTTAAGAACACCGATCCCAAATATCACGTTAGTTTGGAGACGATTCGCACAGGTAAGTGTTGAAATCAATTTCGAATGAGAAATATTGAAAAAAAGTTTATTTCCGCTGCTTCTGCAAAGGATGCGATTAGTTTTGGTGCCAGCCTGACGTCGTCAGAAGACACCAACTTTTTGTCCGCAGTTTGAAAACCAATGCTGATCGTTTTCTTTTACATGTGATGCAATTTTGCGCTTGGGTGCCTTTGACAGGCAGATCACTCCGTTGCTTAGCCATACATGTTGCGGTGTGATGACGTGAATGTTCCACCTTATCTCCACATGCCATTCCTGGTCACGCAACTGCTGCCATATTTTTCGCTTTTTTGGTAGCCATGCTGATGGTCTGGAGATGGCCATGATTATTCTGAGTAGAAGTGAGAATGTGAAGCGATCACGTCGTCAGTCTGTGCAACAATCGCTGAGTCTAATGCATTACATGTGGCGTTGACGCAATTAACGTAGAAATTTGAAGCTCGTTTTCGATGTAAGGATGCGGAAAAGCAAGAGACCAAGCGGATTTCGTAAGATGTCACCGGTGTTTGCTCCCAACGTGTGCTACATAAAACGCTTGGAAGTTTGCTCATACCTGAAATGAGGTTAACGCCAAACGCAGCCGCGGTCCGTTCTCAGTGGCATTCGCTTCAACATCAAATATTCGTGGTGGCGAGAGGGTGGTCAGTGTCCACTCTCTGCAGAATGGTTGGCCTCCGCAAAACCACACTCAACTGATTTTACAAAAAATTGGCCTAGCCGGTTTAATCCATGACGCTTTCATGCATTCATTTTTTCACCCATCATCCAGATCAAGATCAGATTGCCCACAGCCTTACCTCAAACTGCACCAGAATTGTCACATGTGCTGACGAATAAGGAAATTGAAACTAAATCTTAAAACAAGGGAAAAGTTACACCTCTGTGTGACATAACAACGATGAGCCAACGTTTCGCGGTATGGAACGCGAATAGAAAATGACGAGGAAGCCAGCGGAAATGGAAATATGAATAGATACCAGACGCTATCGCTTTCCTTAAATATTTTGAGCTCAATTTCGGCCCATTCCAACGGCCAAAATCGAGCACAAAATCGAACACCAGAACGGGTTTTAAGGAAGATGTTTGGCATTTAACGCTGTCGATATGTTTTTTAGTGCCAAAGACTGCTCTATTTCACAACATTTCGCTGTTTAGTACACATGCTGCTGAATACGTCATCGTTTCATTGCGTCATGGAACGCTCGTATGACGTCAGAGTGGCCGTCAAACTGGCCTTGCAGAATCGCCACTGTACCGGACCAGCTGTCTCAGTTGTAGCAGTCCAGCCTGTCACGATGTGTCGAATTATCGGTGTGTTTGCCGAACTACAATATTGTGACGTGTGCGTACTTTGGCCCTTTCTTGCGGTGTTCTTGCATATTTGTCCATGATTTTATATTGTTTACCTGCAATCCACATGTTCGGTTGTGGTCCAGTCTTATTTCCGTCACAACTCGTGTCACTGCCCCATTTCCTGTGTGATACAACAGGAAACGTGATTCGTGTTCGAAAGTTGCACTGAACACTGGACATTGGGCGAGGGACAACTGAACCCGTCGATGCCAGAAATCGTGCTGACGTACGCCAGGCACGAATAACTTGATAATATTTTCCTTGGCCCTGACGACTACATCACCAATGAGGTGGCAATATTCGCGTGACGGTGGCCTTGAAATAGTCCATAAGAAATCGTGTGCGCAAGCTCAGTGACGCCAACCACAGAAGCCAGAGGATTTAAGTCTAAAAAGGGAAGGGCTGTGAACTGCACTGAGTTATCTTCAAACTGGCTACCTCAATTCAAAACCCGACACAAATATGGAACGTTCCCTTCAATCCAGGTTATGCGATGTTGTTCGTGTCGAGCTGACGGCAGCCTTTTTGTTGGCAACAGCAGCAGTGTGACACTTATCATCCAACAGGATACACGTTTCCTTACAATCGTCGCCTCACGTCACTTTACAATCGCGAGAGCATGTGTTACACTAATCACAACATGTACTTCAATTGATGCATTGCCATGCATCTTGACTCAGCATTTCAGACCTTCACACTTGATCGCGAGTCCCAGTCGTGCACCTTGCACATTGCAATCTGTCTCCCGAAAATGATAAAAAACTACGAAATTTTCTCATGGGTCTCTTTGAGCTTTTCACTCACACAAAAACGCAGTTTAAAATCTGCACTTGAAGACATGCATGTCCCCAATTCCACACCGGTCAGTGCGCAGGTGATAACGTAAGGAGGTGAAAACGTGTACAGATTGGCGACCAAGGGCGTATCGATAAGCAGGAGCTTATCGATGAACAGGAGCGTGTCGATGAACAGGTGCTTGACGATGAGCAGGAGCTTGTCGATGAACAAGAGCTTGTGGGTGGGCAGGAGCGTATCAATAACCAGGAGTTTGTCTATGAACAGGAGCTTGTCGATGGGCAGGAGCTTGTCGATGAGCAAGAGACTGTCGGTGAGCAGGAGCGTGTCGATAACCAAGAGTTTGTCTATGAACAGGAGCTTTTCGATGAGCAGGAGTTTGTCAATGAGCAAGAGCTTGTCGGTGAGCAGGAGCGTGTCGATAACCAGGAGTATGTCTATGAACAGGAGCTTGTCAATGAGCAAGAGCTTGTCAGTTAGCAGGAGCGTGTCGATAAGCAGGAGTTTGTCTATGAACAGGAGCCTGAAGCTCATTTTGTGGATAGATATAGACACAAAGGATTCATGGGCACGATAAAAAAATGGTTAGCGGTAGATGTGAAATGCATTATGGAAATATATGCTATTCTGTCCCTTATTGGTTTTGGAAATGAAACATGCCTTCTTGGTCACATTACAAAGTTTCACGTGCAGCGACTTTTACCGATACTCTGACGGCAGTGCGTGATGACGGCAATGGTCCTGGCGGCAGTGCATGGAGCAGTGCATGTGGAGGATGGTAATACGGAGAGCCGGCCTCCACTGCCGCGCCCCCTGGATGTCCTTCAACGGCCCGAGCGACCTCGAGAAGAACTTTGACCTTCCCGACCCGGAAATGTGTACCGACGGAGAACAGCTGCAGCTACTCTCGGACACCGAGTTTGTAAGCAGTTTGTGGAAGCGGACTGTTGAAGCCGGCCTTTTTCAACCAATTTTGCTCAACGGGATGGCCACCCTATGACACAATGCAAGCTATTAACATAGCGAAATATCTTCCTCAACCTTTTGTTGTGCTACCAATGTTGTACCAGTGGATGGCCATCCGTATGAAAGCACGCATACTATTTTCAGAAGAAAATATATTCCCAAACGTTGCGTTACTTTTTGCAGTATGTTACAGCGCTAGTTACGGGCAGCACGGAGCGGGATATCGCGTGTCACCTTCCGTCGTATAGCAGTCAACAGTAGGCACGCCTCCGAAAAGGCATACAGGGTCTCCGCCTCGCTCGTTGTTTTCATACCATGTAGAGCCCGGCACTATCCTTTCAACACAGCTGCAGCTCACCGTGTTCCTCTCATATTTCTTTTTAGGAAATGCTGAAGGCAGACGTTAAAAGAGAATGCACCGGCTGTCCCGTCAGCTGCATCACAGAAACGTTCATCTCAAAGGTAAGACACAATGGGAATGCACCGGCTGTCCCGTCAGCTGCATGACAAAAACGTTCGTCACAAAGGTAAGACACAATGCCAAGTTCAACACACCGACAGCTCGATATCTTAGATGTGGCAATAATGACATGCATCTGGAGTTAGAAGACAGGTGAACAGACACATTCTGTCTTCACATGCATGCCATTATTGTCACATCTAAGCTAACAAGTTGCCGTTGTGGTGAATTACCAACGCGAGCTTTATCAACATCGGTAGTCCATCAGTTACCAGTGCATGGTACACTACATTTCATTCTGATAGTACGTTATACTGCATTTACATTCATCTGAACATTTTTCATTGTAATCTTGTGTTAAATGCAACGTTTATGCCCGCAGGATACGGAGCACGACAAGAGCTGGAATGAATACACGAACTCACTCCTCTCTCTGACCTACCGGATGCCGCCATTGATTCCGCGAGACACCTATCGGATCTCGTACGACGGTGTCGCCGCCCTGGCGGGCATCGGCGGCAACTTGGGACTGCTCCTGGGCTTCTCCGTGCTGACGGCGCTGGAGGTGGTGATGGCGCTGGCCGGCGGGTGCTGGGCGGCGCTGAGCTGGCTGCACAGCGGGTGTCTGCGGGGCGTGGGCGGTGCAGGCAGGAAGGTTGACTCGGCCAGTTCCAGTACGGACAGTGTCAGGTCACCGTACCAATAATACGTCTGCCACGCGTCCGTGACGTTCGAGACCCTCGGTCAGGGATCAGGAGGCTCTGAGATGCCACGATGCTGAAAACGTCCTCTCCCCGGCCTGCAGGTACCGTTGAGCGGCGCAGGCGCTAGTCAAGCACTTATCGGCATAAACTCGGCCGTCGGTATCGAGGCGGGATTACAGGCACATTCCTTGTCGCGCACATTTTGATGGCATGAACGCTATAGGACCTCATTAGCCGCTGGAGTGATCTCACTCGCTGCATTTGTCACGTACAGGGGCCGCAGCCAAGAGCGGGGAAGGCGCAACCCCTCTCTTCGACGCCATTTTTGACCTTTTCACCACAGGTGATTTCAGACAGAAAGTTAAACATCGTTGGGATAGACTGTCATTGACCTGCCCCCCCCCCCCCTCCCCATCGCCCACCTTAAGGAAACCCTGGCTACGCCCCTGGTCAAATTGTGTCTTCTTTCCGTGTATGCAGGAAAGGGACAGCCTTATCTTCTGCACTCTCACGTATTTGTCATGCATTTTGGCCTCGTGTTTCTACGCAGGACCCGTTGCACTTGCAAGCTATCACGTCACAGACCGACTAGCACCAACAATTTGGTACATTGACGCTGGAGTCAGTCATTATTTCAGTTGGTCTTAACCTGTGGTGTGAACACTAATCTCTCCACCGAGACGATCCGATGCATGACACCATTTTGCAACAGAAACTGGCCAAGCGTGGTTGATCGCTGATTTAGGGCACGCAACGGCGCGACATGACAGCTGGTGGCGAATTATGAGCTCAGAGGAAGGGCTTAAAGATGGGGCCTATTTGTTCATGCTGGGTTATCCCCGGGGTCTGAGGCTTGACTTGCACGGGGACCGCTCCAGTCGGGGACCGTTCCAGTCGACATTTGTTATGAGAGCTCGGGTGGAACCCGGCGCCGGGGTGGCTGGAATGCCAAATTGCGGCTGACATCCCCAGCCTGGCCGCGCAGTGGCGAGAGGCTGCCGGGATGCCGGATGAAGCGGGGAATACGGATAACAGCAGATGAAGGTGGTTGAAACCGAAACCACGTGGCGGTGCGCCTCGAGCCCTGCGCGTAGGCGTGAGAAAAGACTGCCGAGCACAGCGCCGCACCGTTGGGGAGGACGCACCGTACAGCGACGTCGCTCGTTTTGTCAGTGTTGTGTAGCTATCATCGTTGTAGTCACGCGTCTCTCGCTAAATATGCTCTGTGTTGCATCTAACTAAAAATGTGTGCAGTCTTAAGAGGCCTCGGCCAAACGCATGCGCGCCGCTATCATCACTGCAACCACGCGTATATCGCTGTATGTGCTATGTTGCTAAATACAAACTTGTGTTGCTTAAAGACGCTACTTCCAAGCGCATTTATAGTGAAGGCGCTTGAACCCAAACCACTACTGTTACCAGCCAACATTGCTGAGCCCGAAAGACTCGCCATCCTCACTCCTCTGTGCCCTGCATTTTCGCGGGCACGGCTATGTGGTCACCTGTTGTCTCGTAGTCTCGAAGGATGGCGCTAGCTGACAGGTTGGGGCCAGCTGCTCCCTCTGTGGAGTCTTTAACTGCATGCTTTCTCATTATTTGCATGACGAGAGCTTGTGTAAAGCTTAATGAGACAAGTGTAGTAGGGTGCGTCATCGGTAACAAAACCATGTGAGACAAAGAAATTATTTGGCGCTGGGGCCCAAAAGTACACGGCATAGCAAAGGTTCTTCCCAAAACCTTAAATTCGTGAGGCGCGAGTCGAGCGAAATATCGCCCGTAAACCGACGCCCGGCGTTGCAGTCACCCAATGCTGGGCGGCGCCCGCCGCCGCAGGTAACACCAAGCCGCGGGCGGCAAGCGACACAAAATACCTTTGCGTAAAGAAACGATGCTAATGAGCGCTCCTTAAGCCGGCGTTCGAGAATGTCACGGTCTAATGTCTAATATGCGGATCAGACATTGCCCGATTGGTTGCCTTTTGGCGGAAACTTTATGTGCTGTTGATAATGAACTCGTACGAATATCCTGGTTAGTATTGCTTTAGACTTTCACTTCTCTAAGACAACTCACGTGGTGCAAACAAATCTATGTATAGGATATAACTCAGAATATGTTGTCTGGCGTACAACGTAATACGTGCAGCAAAGTTCTGCAGCCTGTACCACGGACGTAGAGAGAGGGGCGGGGGCGGTAGGGTGACCCCATGCACATCTTGCTCCTTGCCGAGCCTGTGTAGTCGATGCACCGGCCCAAACAGCAACTGCTCACAGACTGGAAACACAAAACACGTGTTGGCAGAGATCGCACGGTAGCAGAAATACCTTCGCAGATGGGCTCCACATATTGCCGAAGCTCCAGCTCCAGCCCCAGACTTCCTCGGCAATGTGGCGCTGTGTCGCACTCCTAGTGTGAACCAGATAGGGCAAGATGGCCAGCGGTGCCTGCAATTTGTTCCGCATCACACAGTCGCTGAGGTTTCGCAGTGGGGGCCATGTGACTGGTCCGTGCCAGGGAATCAGTTCGGCGTACCTCATGGCCCCGAAGTTTACCTCTGAGATGGCGAAGACCCTGGTCTGAAGAAGGCCCTCGGCTTGCTGCTCACGAGCGGCGCGACGATCGGAGCCGCCTGTTCGCGGACCATGCGCTTCTCATCCCACACCAAGTCCAGCAGCAGCTGTTCCGGACGGACCCAGTACCCGTTACGCTGGAGGACTGGCTGCACCGTGACCTATGTATGACTGCGGCAGATCGCGGAGCAGCGCGATGCCCCGGAATAAGTTGCGTAAGCCAAAGTCGCAGCCACTGTTTTGCCAGATGGCGGACCATACCGACACATAGTGACCGGCCACGCACTGGACGAGGTTCTTAAGAACGCTGCTGGAAGTCTCACTAGAGATGTGAACTAAGAGCAGGCCAACGGCCAGCGTCAACCATCTGGAAACAAGAGCGAATATATTAGAACAATTCGCTACGAACTGAGCATTAGATTACAAAAAATATTGCGCCTCTTTAGTGTATGCAACTATGCCGATATCCAGAGTCCTCGACTGTGACGGAATACATATCAACAAATATGCTAGTAAGCATGAACTAACCAGCAAATGATACGACATACTACGGCACAAGATATGATAATAAATAAATGCTCAACAGTGAGCACATGAAATACCGATTGATGCTTGATGGACTTTAAATACTCGTGGTTATAAACTCGAAGACAATGCGTTTTCATATTTACCTGGCATGGTTCGATGGTCCGATTCGCCGCTGGGCTACCACGATTCGGACAGAGCCGTTTTGAATGCCGGAGGCCAGAAGGTACAACAGCTGCTGGTTGGTGCTCAGCTGCTGAATCAGGTCGACCGGCAAGTTTGGCACGTGCCCCGACCTAGGCTTGAATGCCACAACGTCCCTCTCCCAGACCTCTCCGACACAGGTCTTGCCGATGGGTCCTGAAAAATTTCGATCCCATGGTCGTGCCGTCCAAGCTCAGCAGCAGATGGAGGAGGTTCAGCTCGTTGCCACGCAGCTGGCAGATGAACCAGTGTACGGGTGACTTGGTGGCCAGCTCAAACAGCCGGAACACGTAGACCATCGTCTCGGTGTTGACGGCCGTGCCATCGCAGCCGAGCACATTGATGTGGCCATCGCACTGCGGGCTCACGGAGTGTAGCTCGTTGAACAAGAGCAGGGCGCGCCCGAGCTCGGACGTAAAATAAGTCACGTGGCGGCTGCCTGGCCCAGTGATGACGACCACGAGTTTTTCGACGGCGTTCGTCTGGCTCCGTGTGGCTCATATAACTCCTGCCTTCGCGTCCGCCGGAGTAGAGGATGTCAAACCTGACTCGTGGATTGCTCAAGCATTTTGATGAGCCGTCTCTTTTCTCCCTCTGTCTCTTGCCCAGCAGATCTTCTCAGGATTTGCGATGTTTGTTTTCAAGTAGCCAGTCCATCTCTGCTGTCTTGTTGAGAGACGATGATAGCAGCAGCGACCCGTTTTGAGCTACCGTAGCTGTCAACCGCCAGAGCGGTGTTAGTCAGATCGTTAACGTTATAATCTACAGTGGCAATGGTCTCAACCGGAACGAACAACCGGCGTCGTCGCCATCTTCCACCATGTACGAAACCGTGAATGAATATATGAATCCGTGCGCTCAGCGGACTCGCCAGCGCTGAGCTTGCAGCGCTTGGTCCCGTAGCAGGCTCGGGATCAGCACTAGCAGCCAGCGCCGGCTCAGCAGGCGGCGCGGGCTCAGCAATCGGCGGGGAAGGCGACTCAGGTTCAGCAGCAGACACCGCCTCACTGGCGGCCGAGCCACGACGCCCCTAGAGTTGTCTGGCCACCCTCCGCATCTCGCAAGCATTCCTATTCACAATCGTATCTCGGCCATATGACCTCAGGGTAAGCTTCTGGTGCCTGCACTGTTCCTTCATGGCAACCTCCTCCTAATACACTGTGCAGGCAGCTGGGCATGGAAAGCTGCACTGAGGCCTGCACTGGCATTTCGCGACATCGAGAAGCTGCTGAATCTCGCGGTGGCGGCGTTACTGTGTCACTCTCTTTCTTTGAATCCTTGCTAATAGCTCTGTTTGGATGATACCAATCCCTCTCGACCAATTTTGTCACCTATTTTAGATCGTGAACAGGGATCGCTTCGTTGGTCCACAGTTCCCTGATATCTACCGGCATGGTCTTGAAGATGGTATTTGTGAGATTCCTCTTCGATTCGCTCAGCCACCTGATGTAGCTCAAGGCTTTCCCGTAGTCGGCAGTTGGTGGTGGAACAGTGGAGCCGGGTGACATATCCCAAAATATTTTGTGCGCGACCGTGTAGCCTTTGGCATGCTTATTTAAGTAAATGTTCGAAAGAAAGGTTCCAGTGCCGGCAGAACTAAACAAACAAACCCATATCGCCCATACAGCAAGCATTTCGGTTGCAAATCAACACCACAGTGGTGCGTTAACAATCGCAAACTTGGGCCTACCTGTCTGCTGGAACATTTTCATAACTGCACAGCTTTGGGTTTTACCAAAAATTAATGTCCTTTTATGAAAAAGTCAGCTTGAAACCTGTTCGGCGATGCTTTCCTGATGCTCTTCATGCTATATATTTCATACTTAATCGC